GCTTTGTGGAACGATGATGCGAAGGGGTGGCCCGACTTCGCTGCTTCCAACACCCTCCTACACTGCGAAGCACCCGTCTCCCGCTGCGATGTCTTCCTCGTCGCCATATCAGCATAAACAGGTCACCTCTGTTACTAAATTCTTGTCGACGACTCCCAACCAGGTGAGTCTGTTTTACTGACTAATGTCAGAGGCGTGGGTAATATGTCCTTGTAAGTAAATCTCATCTTCAAGTCAATAGTAGACAAACAGCAGTCAGAACAACACGGGCTTACGTGTCATTATGAGTGATTCGACAGTGCTGAAATCAGATTGAGCTGATGTGTGTTAATGTAAAGTCGATTCTAATAAACGCATTTGAGGTGCGCGTGAATTTATCATTGTCAACTTTATCATCTGCATCATCATCATCATCACCTGCACCATTAATGTAACTGAGGCGTTAACAGCTCGCATCTCCATCAACATCGCCGTGGCCCATTTCGTCACATGAGCTTGACCGGATGATGCAACCGGTAATGGTCATGTTGAAGTGACAGTATATAAGTTAATTGAAGCACGCCACTCACGGCCATGAGCCTGTGAGTGTACTTTACCCCGAAATGCGTTCAAGGCTGCGTCTGAAGGCGAAATCGGCCCTTAACTTGCAGTGACTTGAGGATTTAGCACAATGGAGGTGCCTGGGAGAGGTCAGACCGTCGGAAGCCATAGATTGTAGAGCTAACGCAATGTCACCAGATCGTCGGTGACTCACGTCTACAAAAGTAGGCATGTTAACTGGTCTATCATCGCTCGGAGACACGTCAAAGCCAATATAAACGGTTTGAGGCAGTTTCGAAATTGTAGCAGCCAACCTTGACTCAAACCACGAATTATTGCAGCGACTGAGCCGAATATGCATGCAAACCGTTAATTAGCTTGCACAATTCACCAAGGAGGAAATGGCACACAACGATACCACATAAGAAAGCACTTGCCTTTCACACACCGAGCATCCGATACAACTAATAAACAATAAAATAGCTTGTTCGCAGTGAAGCGAACCGCTCCACGAGCTACACTCATAATTGGAAACAGCTTACCCTGCCGAAGCATCGTCGTTAGCTGCTGACTCGGCAACATTCCACTGTCCGAAGCCATTGGTGTTTGATCATACACAACTGGCAATGGTGACTGTCGTGACTTCGGTGACATTGCTCCAGGTCCAGCGGACGACATGATGCGTGTCGAAATACCCCTACACACAGCAGCTTGGTACCTTTGCTGCATTTGTTGATAATGCCGCTGCTGCTGCTGCTGCTGATTAGCCGCCATGTAGACTGTCTGCGACTGGTATTAAGATAATATTTGAGGAACCAATTGTCGCCAGGCCATGTGTAGTATCGATCCGGGATAAAGTGGTTGTTGTGGTGGAGGAGGGACGCCAGGGTCCACGATACTCTCAAAGTAAGTAACCTGTTGTTGTTGGAGTCACAACGGAAGTCGCTGTTGCTGAAACATAATTCCACGAGGTGGATACGCTGAAACCATAGACTGTTTCTCGACTAAAAGTGAATAAGAGGCTGCCAAACGTGCTTGAGATAGAACGTGTTCCGTTTTAGGAATCATCGCCGTTTGTGTCGTGGGATGGTGTGGTGGTAAAGGTCCATCAGAGGCGAGGCCAACACTAGCACTACTACCACCGCCTCCGGTCGTCTCAAACTCAATCAATTGGGACTCGATGTCAAGGGCATTCAAATCAGGCAGAACCTGAAGTTCTGACTGAGGCTGTTGGATAGGTGTTACTGAAGCGAATGGTGCAGCGGCAACAACAGGTTGCTGCTGACATGTCTGCTGCGAATCCTGTGGCCTCAACGAGGCGATATTTTGAACATCCTCAGCAAACATGGAATAGCCTTGAACTGGGTGCTGCTCGCAAACAACTTCTGGAAAGGGCTAGAAAAGTGACACGACAATTACTCAGCATAGGTGAATTTGTATGTCCTCTGGAAAATTAACAGGCAGCTTGCCGCGCATTAACACTCACCCTAGGCGCCAATTCGATTTCCGTCCTCAGATCCGCTACACAGACAACCTGTTCTGCGCGTCTTTGTGGCTGTTCAGCGAATGCACCTAGAGGCAGTATCCTCTGGGCAGGTGGAACAGCGAGGCGCTGCTTTAAGTCTGTTGGACCGTTGAAAGCACCGGAACAGCTAGTGCTACTGTGAACAAATTCATCGCAAGATGATGCAACTGGATTTGCAGCATACTGGGTACCGCCACTCCTGTTTGCGAAATTGTCGGCCATGCTACGGAAGTAGTCAAAATGCATGTAATCGTTAACATCATGAAGGCCTAGGTATTAGATTGAGTGAGATCAATATACACCAGATTAGGAACACAAGAAAAAATAACACGATAAAGAAGCTAACTAGTTTGCATTTGAACGATCGGTTTGACAGACCAATTTTGTGGTTGTTGTTGATGATGTTGTTTTAAGACAGTTGAAGGATGCGGATGTGGCTCGACCAAATCACCACCAACACCAACGGAACCTGACGCCACGTTCAATACTTCATTCAATATTTCTTCAAGTCTTTCATCATCAAACCTGTCCACCGATTTCTCATCCTCGTCATACTTTTCCTCGTCCCGGGGATAATCATCTTCCTAAAGATTCGTGGCAGCAACAGCACTGGCACGAAAGGGTGACTCATTGGTCCACAGTTGCTGTCGACTGGTCGAACCCGTGATTGGAGAGGCAAATCCACTCAGAGAACTGGCAATCTTCGAGGACTGTGTGCAACCACCCCAAACATCAATCTGCAAACAAGCGCAATACCAATGTAACCGGCTTCTTCAGGTATTCGGAAATCTCAAATGTAAGCTCCTGCAATCTACCCAATTACGCCTCACGGAGGCGCTGAAAATAC